AGTACAACACAGACACAGCACAGCACAGAGTCTTCATGCTGAACTGCATTCTGCCTCATGACATTTCTTCCAAAATACAAACTGTGTTCACTAAGTATTGCACAGCTCTAACTTTGGTAACTTTCCAAAAATGACCAGGTTTTGACCTACTGTAGTTGTAAAACTTTGTTGATATTTGTTTAATTTGATGTTTAATTTTTTTCAATGTGTGCTGTTTTTTTGTAAAAAGTGGATGTATTTTTTTTCATAAACATTGGAAAATTATACTGATATCAACATAAACATATCCCTCGTAACTTCAAGAAATTACAAAGCCCTTGTCAGGAAATTTACAAAATATTGTGTAGCAGGTGAACTGATATTTTAGGGAGCAGACATGCCATCAGCAGGGGGTTTAAAAGTCAGAATAAGCACCACTAGAAGCAACACAAATTGGACATCTTTGACACTTGTTTTGCATGAGGTTGCACATGCTGTGTTAGCTCTAGTGGAGCTAAGTAAAACATGTGCTTGTTCCCTGGTCTCTGAGCCCTTGATGACATACATCATTTCAGGGTATACCACATAGTATATGTGCAATAGGGTATAACCGTCACATTCATATTATCCAAGAAATATGTTGCTATTTGAGCAGAAAAATAATATGAGTCATCCTTTTGGAATGTTATTACAGCAGGAAGGACAAGTGAAGGCCCAGAACTTGATAATTGTAGCACTGTGAGGCAGGTTTACATCAAGCACAACAAGTGGAGTTCTGTAGCTATTTGACACTCCTACCCAGAGCATACTACTCAAACCTCCCCACTTATTTTTCTGCTGTACAAGAATTATTTCAAGAACAAGTCCATCTGGGTGGTCTCCCCAAAATTTGGATTCAATTAGGGACATTAATTATCAGAACCCCGCATACTCCTGATATGTGTGTAATACATATGATACAATGTTCACTCCATGCTAATAAGGATTCATTCACATACTAGTGTGAAAGTGAAGATGTCTTACTTGTGACCTGGTTAAAAGGTTTAAGAAGATTAACAACATCAAACTGATTCTCAATTAGATTACATAAACAATACAAATGCAAGGTGTTGCCAACAAAAAAGTATGCTAATAGCAGTATTTCCTCAACTGAAGTGTGCCAAGAATAAACCAACATGAGTTCTGAAACTCAATGTTACATCTCTCTTACATTGCTATGACTTTAAGAATTAGCATGATTTCAACAGTAATTTGCATAGCCAGAAGCCAAAGAACAGTGATGTCACAGATAAGGTAACATGCTTCACAATGAGGGTGTGATGAGTTATTATCATGTATAACAGCAAATATGCATGGCAGAAAATAACCTCTTGCATTCTAATAGAGAGGGGGGTATTTAATTAATAAAAATATGAAGTATTTCAACTGCAATTATGATATTAATGCATGTGCATTTTATTATACATATTTAAACAATATGCAGAATTTTTTTCCTATTCTCTGAAAGATAAAATTCAATTTTTTAACATCCAAAAAAATTAGTTTGCATAATTTAAAGAGGTTGATTTCTTATAGTTAAAATGTTTCGTATGAAATTAATGTCAACCAGAAAAAAACAGAAATCTTTAAAACCTTCCTGAATAATAGGCCAGTTCCTGTGCATTGTTAGGAAGAGGACTGTATCATTTTAGCACAAAGAGCTGTTGTGATATTATAAATGCTTATAAGCTGTAACAAAAATACTAAAGAAAATTTAAAATAAAAAAAATCAAATGGTGGGGGGGAAGCAGATTTACTTTTGCCTAAACTTTTAAGCCCTTTTAACAAATGTCTTGATTCGTCTGATTAGACAGACTTCAGGGTGATCCAAATTAATTAGCAAAAACACTCTAAACACTAAGAAAGCTATATATTGTACTCCTACCACTAATTTAATCATTTGACACTTTTATCCAAGAAAACGTACATCTGGACATAAGGCATCATACTGAAGCAATTCAAGTGAAGTATCTTGCTCAATCGATCAATCAATCAATCAAAGTAGCTGAGTAGATATCCTGGATGTTTGGTAGCTCACAGCTGGTAATGAGCTGCGCTGACTTCACCACCCTCTGCAGTACTTTGCAATCCCGGGTGGAGCAGTTCCCATACCAGGCAGTGATGTCAACAGTAAGGATGCTCTCAATACTGCACCTGTAGGAGCTGGCCTGAATATGTGACGGCATGCCTAACTTCTTTAGTCTGCGGAGAAAGAATAGGTGCTGCCGTGCTAGTTTGACCATGATGGTGTGATGTGGGCCAGGTTAATCTTACAAGAGTTATCATCCCATCCATTATTTGAACCCAGAATCTTCCAGGTATGAGTTCAGAGCCCTAACCACTACTCCATACTGCTGTACAATGTTAAAATCTTGGTCTCTTCAATTCAACAAATAAAAAGTTTGTTCAGAGATAACTTTAAATCTAGGTCATTACCTGGCAGTTACTCCAAAAAAGTTAGGTATGCCGTATGTCTATGTTCAGGCAAAATGGAGAGAGAGAGAGAACTTTGGCATCAGTTGTTTGAAACACTAAACCAGTTATTCACAAGCATGTTTTTTTACGTAGTTAAAATATGGTTTGGATCTAGTCAACAAATTCCCAGACTGTTTTGCCTTCCTTGATGTTATTTATCACTTCAGAATTTATTTTTGTCCTGTACTTTGAAAACAGATAATCAATAATGGGTCTCCCCTGTACCTAATCTTGTAGCCTGTAGCTAGTAAGACCTCCCATTTTTTGTAACTCTAACATTCAGAACCAGTTTTTTCCTAATTTTCCTGTTAAACTTGTGATTCAGGCTAGACTGTGAACGTCATGAAATTGCAATCGTAGGCAATGGTTATGCCTTTCTAAATCTGGCATTACCACAGAATGCACAGCATCCATAATGTTGGTCCCAGCAATTTCTCATTCATACTTCTGGTGAGTTGCAGCTCTGCAGTCAGAGAGAGCAAGGATATATCAACAGTACAGTTCCTATATTCTAAGGGGGTGGTCAGAAGACCACAAGCTGCAGAAAAGTTGGTGAAATTTCCCTCACGGGATCAATGAAGTATCTATCTGAAAACACAAGCCAGTCTGAGTACTAAACCCTGACACAAGTCCCTAAAAAAACCCACCAGAGGAAAAGAAGGCTGATTACTGTACATCTTGGGCTCTGCTACTGAAAGGACAGTGATGTGTTAATATGCCATAATCTTATGATCCTCGACATACAAGCAGATCTACAGCAGACTGACTGCAGAAGAAGAAACTCCCAACCTAAACCCCATTGAAATGTTGCGGCAGAACCTGAAGCCAATTGTCCGTGCAAGACAGACCTCATGTCACAGAGTAAAAGAAGTTCTTTAGAAGGAGCAGGTGAAAATTCCTCAAAACTGATGTGAGAGTCTGATCCATGTGTACAGAATTTATTATGTTTTTTAATTTAATTGCAGTCGTTGCTGCTCAAGGGGAGAAACCAACTACTGCATCCGAAGGTTCATATGCTTTGTCACACATGGATACTGTTTGTTGCATCATTTGAGGATAAAGAAATGTTGAAAGGGCATCATCATTTGTCATTTGCTTCATCAGGTTAACTCTATCTATTATTAGATTAACTTAGATTATGATCTAATACAATTTTGGGTTTTAATTATGTGAAAATCCTAAGGGTTTCACAAACTTTTTTTGGCACTGTATTGGAAAAAAATGTAAATCAATTTATGTAATCTATCTGGAGAAAGGTTTAATCACTGAAACAGGTTAAAAATGTATTTTTATATTTTACACCAAGTACTCTGGATTTAACTGTCCATTCTCTTAAAAACAATAGGCTTGGTTGTTCACAATGGACTGTGTGGAACCACTGACAATATGCACTTATGAGAAAAAAAAACTGAAGTGAAAAATGTGATTTTTAAATATGGACTGTGGTCATATTTAAAAGACACATTTTTAAATATCAAACTAGAAACAGAAAAAAACATGATCAAGTGATTTAAAAATGTAAGCAGCTAAGAGTATTCTCGGAAAGATAGCTCTAATTGTAGATGTAAACACATTGTGATGAAATAGTAATTCTTAAAACAGTCTAAGTAAACAAATTAGATTTTTTCTAAAATCTTATTTAAAATGATAGCTGTACTTGGAAATAATGAGATTGTGATGAATAGATAATTAGCTTTTTTAATATTAAAGTTCTGAGTTTTGTTTTTATTTCAGCTAGGCCCCTTAAAATGTTGTGCAATGCTAGCCCAATTCAATTTGTGCTGTAAATTAAAAGCAGTGGAAATCCACACCTTGCTTTCCAAATCAATCTACGCTCATTGAGCTGTTCTCAGATGTGCAAAGCTTGTGAAACATCTTGAGAAAGAAAACACAGCTTCACTTTTACACATAACTTAAACTAACAGCGGTGCAGTTCCACTGGAACAAACGAGAGACATCAAAGCACCACACGAGACGGCTCGGTTTGGAAAGATACGCTGTGTGGCTTCTTAGGTCAGTCTTCTTCACCATTCCCACAAGATACATGTTCTTTCAAAGTGTGTGCACAGTACCCCAAGTGAACTCCACTCACTCTCAAGTGCCCAGTCCTTCCTCTCAGCCTGCCACCACTCAAGACACAGGTAGCAGCTGAACGGCTGCTTGCTTTGCAGACACACGCAAGTAATTGCAAGAAAAAGAAAATGTGTTCACAAAAAATGAAAACAGTGCATACAGCCTGAGTCATTAGAATGTGCATTAATCAACATCCATTTGAAAAGGGTACTGTAAGCACTGTGTAAAAACAAAACAAAAAGCTGCACATTTCTCTTAAAACTGTGTCCATGACAATGTTTAGTGAGACTGGGCCTATTTACTGTATGCTAGACATTTGAAATGACAAGATCTTGTGCGTTATGTATGTGCATACTGTACATTAAGCATAGTGGAGACAACCAGAATCCAAGAGACGTTACTGCAATTTGATTTACAGATTGTCTATGGTTTGATAAATATTTATTTAGTTTTGTATTACATTCTTTATTTTCATTTTCTTTAAGGATACTTATTTCATTAAGACTTGAGTGTGGGGCAAATTATATCCAACTACAGTATAATGTACAATTTAAATTACTGTAGTTCAGTCAGCACCCAGGGTTAGCGGTGATATATATAATAATGTTGAAATTAAGAAAATCAAAATTATACCCAATAGCTAGCAGTCGGCTGTTCTTTACTGACATTTCTTTATTAATTCACTGCATCCTTTGTTCCTCTACAGATATGTTCATTCTGCTAATAGTTGGTAAACTGTCAGATGGTTTGACAGAACAGTGACAAATTTAAATCCAAAACCACACAACTGCAAGGTAAATACAAATTATACATGTACATACACATTACTTGTAATCCTGTCACTTCATGGCAGGTTAGTATAGGTTTCTATTCTTAATTTTCAGGTCTATTTAGTTTAGGCTGGGTTAGATTTCCCAGGCAGAGAGTGATGCGTTCTGTTAACTAATCAACAGTTATAAGAGCACAAAATGTTTATTAAATAAAACACGGAAACTTCCTAACAGTGGTAAGGACTTCCATAGGTTCATCTGCTATAGGTGTATGATATAGTCCTGCAGAAAAAAAAATCAATTTTTAAATGTACTATTTTTAACTAAGAAAAATGAGCATTTTTATACTTCAAATTCTATTTCAATCTAACTTAAAAATAGAAAGTCCTTTGGAGATTGCTTTTAAAAAACAGACATAATTAAAATGAAAAGGGCCAAGACCTTAATCTGTTTTCTGTATAAAATACTTAATTTTGCCGACTACGAAACACAATGTATACCAATGTAATGTCGTCAAAAGTGAAAGAATAATTTTTATTGTAATCATACTGACTGAATTAATGTCGTACTTTAATGCTTTTTCTTGTTTAATGTATCTTGGCAGTCTAAAATGGAAATTTCACTCATTTCAAAGTTTTAAAACAAACTTTTTAAAAAAGAGAAATCATATAATATCAGGGCAGGACTTGATGAGTCTTTTAATCACAAAACTAAAGAAGATGCAGAATTTCATTAATTGATCTTCACAAGTCTCTAGTTAAGAAATGCCTGTGTAATGTTCCTTGCTGTTGGTTGATGGGATTCAAAGTCTGCAATTAAAAAATGATACACAGGAGTCCGCTTTCTGTTCATTACTGGCTGCTTCAGAAATGTCTTGTGCTCAGTGAATCCGAGTTTTTAATGTTTCCATCTTTAGTCCAGTGGCTCCTGTTTTATCCGGATGACTGAGGGTCCGCGCTGCGCCCTCTTGATTTCCCTCCTAAGGACGTATTCACTAAACTGCGAGGAGTCCACACCCCCACCGCAAGAGCCCACAATCTCAAAACCTCTCTGCTGCAGCCGCTCCAGAACCTGAAACACAGCAGGCGATTATTAGAACAATAACATAGAAAAAGAGTAACCATAAATGCATTCAATATGACCGATTTTCTCCCTAAAAACATTCAGTTTGGAAAGGGTGAGGTGTACACGATGAAAATAAAATTTACATTATGGCTTCTGAAAAGGAAAAAACAGAATGGTTGCTCATCATTTTCCTGAACATTATAAAATTTTGAATTTGTTTTTAGAACCATGCACATTACTGAAACATACTTGCCAAATGCAGCAAACTTAAAACTTGTTTTTTAGACCAAAAATATTCATTTAAATGCAACATACAATGAAAGCAATTACAAGAGACAATGATAACTACCGTTCCTTTTACGATTCAACAACTTATTTTCATTTCCTCTCCCTATTAAAACCCTACAACTGCATCTTCTCATTGTAAGCACATGACCCCCTGATTCTTCAGCTTCATAGACATTATCTCCAGAAGGCTGCAAGATCAAATTCCATTAAAGTGCCCTCCGGGAGTACTGTTTTTTTCTATGCCACTTGGCAGCTCAGGATACTCAGAAGCTCTCCCAGCTTCAGGCTGGACTGGATGCCAAACTACAAAGGTCTTGCACTGCTCGCAATTCTCATCTTTTCTCCATTAACACAGCTACGGGAGCCAGTGGCAATTTGTTTTAATAACCAAACAGGATTATACCCTCCCTCCAGACAGTCTGTCCTGGCATGCTCTTTGGAGACCAGTACTTGTCAGGGCGACCAAATCTAAGCTCTCTTAAAAAATGTGAACCAGGACTTTCTCTAACACTGGATCAGTTTCGCTTTATTGACGAGTTGAAAAGTTCATAAACGCAGAAAAGAAAGAACACCGAGAGGCCAAACAAATTTTCATATTTTCCAACAATCAACCAGATTTAAAAGAAGACATCAGAAGTCTGTCATCTTTTATGAGCTGTAGAAAGAGCAGACACAACACGAGCTGGATGTCCCGTCCCAGGCATGCAGGCACAGAGGGTGCGAGCCTGCAGTCTCACCTGAACAGAGTTGAGGTGACAGTAGCCGTTCAGCGGGAAGCGTATAACATGCGTGGAGTCGTGGTTCCAGCCCGCGTTCACCGAGTTGCACATGACGTCGCCGATCTCGGGGAAGACCTCCTCGATGAGGGCCTTGTCCCCGCTCAGCGCGATCCTCTCTCCCAGGTCAGGCGCCACGCGCACCACCAGGCACTCGCAGGGCCGAGAGAAGCGCCCCAGCTCCCGGTCCTGCCGCCAGCGCTCCAGCTCGCCCAGCATGGGCTGTAGCTGGAAATACCGCGCCTCCTCGTACAACAGGCTGTAGTCCTGGGGGAGAAGCCAGAGGAGAGCGTGAGAAACCACCGGCACACAGCAGCTCCAGGACTGGGGCCAGCTGCTCCGTCACTGCTGCTTCGGCGCTGTAGCCCTCAGCACACGTTACAAACGGGGCTACAGGGCTTTGCAATAAAGCAAGCTCGATGTACTGCGACCTTCACTGAACTAAAATAAACGTATTCATCATGGTCTGGCCGAGGGATAAACAGCACAAAACCCTGTGACTGTTGACAGAAAATCAGGCACACACTAATTTGACATTGTTAATCTAGATTGCTCTTGTTACACACAAGACCATCCAAATAAGCAAATGACACATAATTACATGTAATAAACTAAAAAGTGAGCTGTGACTGTGACCAAAGACAGAAATCCAGTTTTATATAACCCTCTTCCCTCTTTTTACTCTTTTTAAATTTATTTTTAACATTTGAATCCAAGCTTCTTCAAAATTTTGCATGAGGCAGGCAGTTTTTAAAACTAACATTTTGTTGTCTTAAAAAAGTTTTGTGCACTGACTGAAAGATGACACACAGGACAAATACAGTAGGGTCTCGACATTTGTGAGGGTTTCGGGGTAGAGAACCACCATGATTAGTTAAATTCACATAGAACCACATCCACCCCTATACTGTAACAAAGTGTTCTTTAGTATATAGTATATATTGTATGATATGAAGACATACAATAGTGGCTAGCTGGACTCATCGCATGATTGTGGCCTGTTGCACCACTTACGTTGAGGTTAACAACCTTTGGGTTAGTTTCATCCCGCTCTGCTGTTCTTTTACCAAAGACCTTGTCAACTAGATTGAATGGTGAATTCACCAATTCGCAGATGTCAAGACCCCACTTTGAAAAGTAGAATTTAAAAGTATACCTATCCAGTAATATTCCAACAGAGGAATGTTAAATGTATGAACTAGATTCAAATGCCTTTTATAATGAACTGCAACTTGATGCGTGTTGAGACCAATGGCAGTAAATGTGTAAGGAGGGTTTTAGAAAACACTAATTAAAACCATTATTTATACATTAATCAATTTAGGATACCTTAGTATTAACAGTAATTTTAATTGTAATGTCCTAAAACACAGTCAAGTAAAAAACACAAAACCAATAATGATTTAAACAAGTGATGGATTAAGGTACACAAGTCAATTTCCTAAAGGCATTTATTGTAAATATTGAAAAAAATAATCATACACTTAAACACAATGAATGAACTAGTAGAATGTCATCCACCTACTTTAAAGTCATCAGGAATGAGAAGCTTGGAGGTCCTGAGGAAATTTAAAATGTATCTGAACATGTGTCCATCTCTATCAATGAAGTAGTGCTGTTTGAGGCTGTCCAGGACGATGGGCTCTGTGCCATCAAAAAGTCGTCCAATTCTGTACAGAGAAAGAAACATAGTGAGTAGAGGTGGAGTAATTTATACAGTATACATATATATCACATCAAATAAGGAACTTTTTTAAAGAAGGGATAATGCAGAGTGTACACTGTAAACAAAATATAATCCATTGACTAATCCATCTGTTCTCTAACTGCTTTACCCAGTACAAGATCACAGGTGAGCTGGAGTCTATCCCAGCAAGCAACAGGTACAAGGTGGAGACACCCTGGGCAGGACACCAGCCCATCACAGGACACACACAGACAGACACAGATAATCAATACACCACATTAAAAGTACAGAAGTATATAAATGAGGCAATAAAGGGATTTTGAATGTTTGTGTATGATGTATGCTTTGAATTTTACATATATTGAAAAGAAATTAAAAACTACAACATCAGGAAGCAACAGCACACCACCCTGAACTGAAAGATGTTGAGTTCTTCTTTCCACTTTAGCACAGTGGAGGCAAAAGACCTGACTGGGGATTGGCTAATTAATTATATCCTAAAATAAACAACACTAAAATGTGTCTGAACATATGTTCAGATACTGTACATTTGAAATTTCTTCATTAGCAGTTTCTACTAGCAGTTTGATTAAAAAATATTTTTTTCTTACAGTCATCTGAATCCAAATACTTAGTATCATTTAAGATTGTTGCTTGAATACAGGTCAATGTCCTTTGGATTCCAATAAATGTGCTTTTAGACAGTGAGATCTGCTCATCTGGTGATGCTGCATTAATGAGATTAATAAGAGGCAGGGGAAAAGACAAGGCACTTCCTAACGACAGATACTTAGCAATTTATGGCAGAGAGAAAATAAACTGAACAGCAATAAAGAACTGCCAGTTGCAGCTTGTAATATTTAAGATGAACAATGTATGAAAAACATTTACAAAATTGTGTAACTGTTAAAAAGCCCAACAAAAGGATAATAAAATAATTGTAAAAACTGTTTTTTGTTTTCAGCAAAGTCTATACTTTCTTTAGGAACTTTCCTCTACTAGGTAAATCGTACAACATTTAGACACATTAAATCCGAGATGGGATGTTTTCTATCTCTCCATGCAAATGCCTTCCTATTTTTTTTTAATTCCATTACAGTTAGTTTACATGGTGTTGAAAATGAATAACCAATGAAATAAAGAAATGTATGGTCACTATCTCTGGTCCTGGAGGGCCAAAGGCCAGAAGGTGTTAGGGCCAGTCTTAAATTTTCTATTTACAAAAACCTGGAAGAACTGCAGTTTGATTGATCTAGCAAGGTAGCTTTAGGTAGGTTCAGTTAAGCCAGGTAACGACCTGCTATCTCATCTCTAACCTGCTTCAGAAGGAAAAACATTTTAGAAACTGGGTTTCGATGCTGATGATGATGACAAAAGTCACCAAAAGGCCCTCCTGACTCAGCTCTCCAGGATCAGAGTTGCTAGAATCTTCACAATAACCAGATAAAGCAATACTGTACAAATTTAGACTTGATGAAAAACTGAGATCACCCTAAAAATTAAACAAATGGAAATGTTCTCTTATAACTAAAAAGGTCTTATTCAAATGATGATACTGAGAAGGTTTCATTAACTTTGAAATTTTTAAGTTGAATGAAACAAATATCTATTTTGTGGCACACAGTGCTTCTTTCCAAGATGTAACGCTATATTCTGTGCTAGAACTGATAAGGTATTCCGTCAGTACTGGAATTTTACTTTACAGAAATTTTATGAAGTGCTGCAGGACAGGAACCACAAGGTATTATTGCCAGAATTGCTTTAATAGAAACACGTGGGAGTCCACTGCATTCTTCCTGCAATACTGTATGGCACTCGCAGCACAGAAAACCTTTTCAGTCCTGGAAAATGGCTTGAGTGGTCTTTGCGAGATGAAACCTCCAAAAAGGTAAAATAGGTCAACAGCTGGAAACTACTAGGATAAGACCTGAGCTTGTACACCTTGGAGTCACATGTGAATATTTTGTGTAGTAAGGGCCAACGCATATTTCTATCAGCTGCGCCCTGTTGAGAGCCTGTTTAAGAAGGGTTCCTCCATACCACGAGTACAACTGACCACAAAAGGTCATGTAAAACCATCTTTGATTGTGTGCAGCCCTTGAAACCCGCGTGCAAGCCTCATTAGGTGTTAATATTCTGTTGGACTCAACAAAATAGCAGAATAAGTCTTAACAGGATACAAATATAACAAAAAATAAGTTAATATCACTTCCAAATCATACTGTGTTGGTAGCAGTCTTTTTTTGATCAGTGGAATCATGGAATACCATGAACAGTGTGTAAAGCGGTCCTTCAGAAAGGGTTAAGATGAAATTTTAATTCAAATTTGTTTTAAAGGCACCATTCAAAATAATTAGCCAACATTTTTTTACCGGGAAAAAATATTTTGATAATTTCACATTCATCACCACTGAATATCAGCTTTCTAGAAGATGCAATACATTTCCATTGCAACCTTTTTCATTGCATTTACCTGCAAACTATATTGCCCACCCTGCAAGTGTTAGAAAGGAAACCCTCCTTTCACAGAATGCTCAAATATTTCATATAATTGACAGAACATAGGTACTTATTTTTAATAATAAAAAGCATGTGGCACCTGGGAAAAAAGCCAGACAAGTACAAGTGCTTGCTTTGGTGAACATCTTAAATTTTTCAACATTTGCATAAGACACTAATAAGGCGGTGGGACATACAAACTCTTCATAAGAACAGCTGCCTCCCAGGAGCCTAAATTAAGCCTCAAATAGTCCTTTGCAACTACTAAGTGCAGCCCATTATTGCGTGCTCACACATCAACATCAGCTCTGGTCTTTCCAAACCAAAGGCTACCAATGCCAGTGATGTCTAGTTTACCGTAATCCTAACTGATTCTGTCTGTGTTCTCGCAGAGCAAAGTGTGTCACAGCTGGATGTGTCAGTACTCATAGAATCAGGACCCACGTAAAACTGCAACAGCAAATTTAAAATGGCAAACAGAAGCAAAGGGGAGGAAAAAGCTGTACAATAAAGGAAACAAAGGACCAGAACAGCATGATGTGTGGCTATAAATCATATATGGGAAAAGACAGAAAAGATGGAGAGAGGTCCTAGTTTATTTGATTATTCCACTGTTTTTCTTTGGAAATATACTGAGCATCAAAAGAAACCCACTGCTATTCACGTATTTTTTTTAAATAAAGTATAAAGAATTTGGATTGAAGGTTTTGCAATCTTGTAGATTCACAGATTACCAATTGAGCCAAGTGTGTGATGGCCTGAGTACGAGCGTCTAGTCACTACAGAACTCGACTTGAATGATTGATGTCAATCTGAACTGTCAATCTGTGCAGGGTTTAATTGATCAAATCCACAGAATTCACTTCCTGTCCTTCCTGAAGGCTCATCCTGATGAGACAAGACTCCCACTGGCCAAAACACACTCTCCCAATACTTCTGTTAAAACAGCTTTCTTAAGAGACAGGGATGTAACACCATAGATGTCCTACTTGTCAGAACTCCACAAAACCTTTGAGGAGTACGCTGGAATGATATGTGACATTTAGGGCTCAAAAACCAGTGAACAGGCACAAACTTGGTCAATGTAGAGACAAGAAGTCAGACTGGCACCAACCAATGCAAGTGACTAAACACTTCAGCCCAAAGAATCGTCAGTGCTGTACTACTAACAAAATTAACTTCATGTTTTGAGTAACCTTAATATTTTAACACCATATGACAAAAGGTCTTTTTTGCTCATTACTCCGTTGTTATGGAAATCTGATGTGGAAGCTGAGTTTGAACAAACAACTGCATTTTAAACCAAAAAGATCATTATTAACCATAACCTTGATGTTATCTTCTGTTTGCCAACCACTTATCCTAAGGTAAGGTTGTTGATCTTATTTGGATAAAGCAAATCTGAAAATAAATGTGCCAAAACTGTTTTAAATACTGCATGTAACAAGGCCACTGTTCTTGTATACCAAAATCATGACTAATGTATTGAAAATGTTTTTCAATTGCAAAACAGGTACTGATAAATTTAAACTCCATTAACATATACATTTTTCATGCAGAAGAACATGTATTTCCTAATGTTTGTTATAGTGTTCTCTAACCAATCTGGTAGTTTTGTTGCAATAAAATGATCAGGAACTGTTTACTGAAATCTAGAAGTGCATGTCCTTGTGTCAATACACACATTGGGTGCTTTGACGTAAGTTTAGAAAAACTGTCCCTCTTTACACCAAGCAACTTGGAACAGCTGAATCAAACTTGGATCTGCTGACCATCACAAATCTGCATGCCAATCTGCATGGTCAAGCCATCTTCTTAATTTTACAGCATGAAACCAAAGAGCACAAAGAGCATTGACACTGTTCTCAGTGTTAATTCCTACCGTTGGCAGCCACACGGGTCCCTGGTGCACAGCAAGCACTGTGACCAGGGGTGTCTTTCAGCTCACCTGGTGGTGCTCAGTCAGTGCAGCTGGATGGTGATCCAGGTTATTCTAGATCTTAATCATCAGAGGCAGAGCCAGGAGTGAAAGCAGACCAAAGAGCATGTTGTACACACTGAGCAGGAGCCACATGCATTACTGTGAACCCTGGGTGTTCAGATCTGTGTAGGATTTCACATCTGAAGTGTGTTAAATGTCAAAACTACCAAGCAGGTGTCTGCAAAACACACCGTGGAATAAAAAGCGAACCAATGTATTTTAAACAGCATCATAGAAAACTCAGTAGTAACTCCTATTACTTTGAAACACTGAAAACATTAAAACATTTAAAAATTGTGTTTTAAAAACAATGTCACAATCACAGAAAAAAAATGCAAGATGAATCAAAACAAGCATAAGTGTCCCAAAGAAAGGGTCACATGACGCAATTTTTTGGGGGGATGGAGTTTTGCACATTCATTGTTATAAAACAATAAGCCTCATGGTTTTTGTGGATTGCTGCACTGCATCCTCTCAGTCTCCTATAAAGAATGTGTGCAAACAAAAATAGGTTCGGCATCGGTAATCCACTTCCATGTGTTATTGAACATCGCTATAAATCTCACCTAGTTAAAACCAATTTGACGCTCTAGTATACTAACTTAAATATATAGATGAGATGTTTAATTAAAAAAAAGGCTAAGCAGAGTGGTCAATACCATCTGATAATGACTACTAGAGCAATCGATGGGCATTAGGTGGGTTTTGCCAGATAGTACTGGCCGCTTCATAGCTTAACTGTTGTTAAGGCAGCTGTCAATGCACATAAATGATGTGTGCTTGCTTTTTTTCCCCCGTCAGCTTCAAAATAGGGAGCATAAAAGCTCTATAGTACGTAGACCATAAGCTTGATACATCTATAAAGCTGATAAAATATGGCCACTTCTGTGGATAGAGATTGTGGATTCTATAACTAAAAAAAGCAATATTAACTAAAAGGGTTTATTTAAGAATATTCAGAACTTAAGTCACCTCCACAAAAAGCAGTTGGAGATCATTACTTAGAAAACACGAATTTCCTTTATTGTTATTAATATTCTGAGCAGACTAAACTTATCCAGATTCTTGCATAAACAGTAATAGCACAAAATGTAACTATAAAGTCAAATCTGAGACTATAAAAATGACTTTAACGGTTTGTCATGTCTTTATATGTTTATATGAAAAGGTAAAATAAAAAGTATTCATGTATAATCAATTCTAATTTTTTTCTACTGTATATCATGCATATTTATAATCCCTGGCCAAAATAGAGATTTGTGCATATTGTAAGATGAAGATATTGACTGTGCTAAGTGCATTTACCACATATATAAAGGTTTATATTAAAAAAAACTTCAAATAAAATGGAAATAATTATTCATGAATAATTTAAAACATACAGATATAATAAAATGCACATTTCTTTGCTGTCTTTCAAAACCCTGCAATGTTTGCCAGCTTGAGAAAATAAAAACTTTGAAGGACACGTGGACATCGCATACTGGGCCAGCACGGCTGCAAGTGCCATCGGATTCAAACCACACTGGAGCGGGCAGACGCTGGGAGTAAGGGGCTGTCAGACCCCTTTCACAGCTGGACAGATGCTCATCAGAGACGCGCTCAACACTAACTACTGCAAAGGAAGAGGTGTCGGAGAGCTGATGGCTCTGGCTCCCTTCTGTAAGACACACAAGACAGCTGTGATGCCAGCAGGGGCGCCATCTTCATACTTGGCTGGTTTCACAGCGGAGAAGTTTGGAGACAGACAGATGTGACAATAATTTGACTTCAAACAAAGGGAGACAGCCTTTTGTGGTAGATTACGATCACGCAGAGGCACGAGATGTAACACGCTTTCCAGAACGATGTCTATTTCAAATTTCAAATTTGCCTCCTCAATATTCACCAATACGCAAATGAAAAAAACCCATAAAATACAATCTTTCTGTTTCAAATACACAATGTCCTTTTTTAAAGTTTAAAATCTGTACTAAAAAGCCTAAACATTTATATTGTTGATACAAACGTAAAATCTTGCTTAGGTATTAAGAGACTTTTTCCCCCCAAAGTCTGTTTTTACAAAGGACCTTTCAGTGTTTGGACACTAGAAAAAACAATCCTTTTGATTTTGGACAAAATTTAAGAACAGTGGAAATGAATCATCCATCCATTTTCTAACCACTTCACCCAGTTCAGGGTTGCGGGGGATCCCGAGTCGATCCCAGCAAGCCACGGGCACCAGGCAGGGTACAGCCTGTATGGGACGCCAGTCCATCACAGGACACACAGACAGACACTCACACCAGCGCTAATTTTCCCAGAAGCCAATTAGCCAACCATCATGTCTTTGGAATGTAGAAGCAAACTGGGGCACCTGTAGGAACCCACACAAACCTGGGAAGAACATAGGAACCCTACGCAGACAGCACCACGATAACTGAACCCAGGACCCCAGTGCAGTGAGGCAGCAATGCCAACCACTGAACCTCCATGCCATCCCTAGACATGAACCAACACATCTAAATTCAAGTAGAAAGAATGGATATGACATCAACATACTTGCTTGCTCAGTGTGGCACAGAACGTTTTGTTAGAAATCACATTCAGTGATGGAAGAGATTGAAATCCCACAGCCACGCACTTACAGGAGACCTGTGGAACTGGAATAACTAGATTATGCTGGGAAAGCAACCATGCTGTACTTTATTATAGTGGCACATAATACTTGGCAGTAGGAATAGCCAAGGTAGACAACAGAAAAATGCTTATATTATATTTTACATTGTAGATTCAGTCACATAAAAAGTAAATTAAATGAGTACTGCTATTCGTACATTCCTTTTTTACAATATCTGTTTTAGTAAGATGATGACATTCTATTTATTATGTATTAGAAACACAAAAAGTAAAATGTATATAAACAAGTACTTTGTTAAATACCTACGCTGGTTGGACTAGAACATGATACAAAATGCTTCACATGCATTGCAAATTTTAAAAGCCACAGAATTCTTTTCATACCAAAAGGAAGTATGGTATACTGCATCATGGGCCAAAGAGAGGTGACCAATGTTTTGAAGACAGTACATCAACCAACATTAGTGAAAAGGGACAAAAATAATGAAAATGTCTACAGGGAACATCCATGGCCAAGTCTTGTGTGAAGACCCCAGCATTCCCTGGTCCACTCTTCTCACAGTGTCATACTGATGTTAAAGTTATCATCTCATTTTCAAAATGAATGAAAAGCAGAATTCATGTGGCTCTGCATTAGATTGAGTAGACTGCAGCGGCTGTCTCCTCAAAATGTAATTAATGGTGGTTTCAATGCAACTTAATTTTGTAAGCAAGAAAAGGCCAAAAATGTTTAAGCACTGTTTCAAATGAAACCCAGTTCTAAATTGCGCATGTAACGTGTTTTCCCTGCAAGTCCTGTCATGTAAGATAATTAGAATCAGCAATTAACTCCTGTCATTAATACATGACCTCAAAATATTTATTCACAGGAATGGAGAGCTTTCTGATTTACCTTAGAAGAACATTTCACAGCTTGTCACATCTCTTCATGTCACAAGTATATTCTAGATTTTTCCTTCATATCTTCATTACCCAGTGCAGCTTGTGGTCTGAGCTCCACTTTGGACAAATTGCCTATTTACAGTACTGGTTTTACTATGGTGTGGAAAATTTGATTTAGTTCACCCAAAGAAAAATATGGACCTTTGTCTTTTGAATGATTTGCAAAGACTATATTATGAATGTTCCATATCTTAACCTTCATGTGCAACAGAATTATGCTTCACACATCTTCAACCTCAAGCTGCAATTATTTTTGTGAATCCAAATGCTGCAATGCAGTCATGCAAACTATTAGGCCAAATGAGGGCCCTAATGCATCTTCACCGCAGTCCAACGTAATCAGTCCCTCCTAATTAAAATAGCTTTTTAAAACTAAATGAATAAAAAAAAACAGTTTATTAAAAATGAAGCACTGTTGTCTTCATCAGGACACATACTGTACACTCTAGAAGACATCGGAAACTACAGTGGCAACGTGTGCAGACGAAAGCAAGGAGATCCCATGTTTACACTTTGGCCCAATGTATTTAATTTCACATGAAATCCACAGGGCTAAGATTCAGAATACAGCACCCCTGCCTAATAATTGTTTCCAGTAATGCTTTAGATAATGATCTAGCTTAATAAAACTTACCTGACCAGAATACACCAGAAACTAAAGTTAAAATAAAGTGAGCTCTCATACTATGTAATGAACACTCAATCGTTTGATTTAAAGTTTCTAATTTCATTGTCTATCGGGTAAATAACAGGCCTTAGATACTTTTATGTTAACAAAATAATTAATGGCCATTAATATGGTGATACACCAAAGAAATGGTCAATTTCCTTCTCTGTATATGTAAATGATGAAACAGTAAAGCATCTTTGAGAAAAATGAGGCTGAGTCGTGACATAACATCAAAAGGACTTCTGTGGAATTCAAATGTGAAGTAAGTAAAAGAAAGACAAAAATAGCAGGATAGCAAATGGCCATAGTCTTGACATGTTAAGACACACATCACACATTATGGTGAGCTATAAAGTTATGAACCAGTGAGTACTGCATAGCATTTTTATGACTCATCCATCATAATGTATTTCTGCTGTGATTGTCATTTAATGTATTTTTCTTGAGAACTGGGACTACACTGCAGAGACACTGGTTCAACACACTAACCACCCTGAAACATAAGGTAAATGGTCAACAGTCAGTACTGACAGTCCAAGACAAAACACTGTCATTGACCTCTGGTCACACTTACCTTGACTCTGGGTACTTTGTCAGTGTTGCCAGGCTGCTAGTGTACATATGGCCTCCCACATCGATGTGTACAGGTGCGTTGGACTTAGTAAGTTGCGCAGGAGTTGGAATACCCTGGTTGCTCAAAGGAGATGCAGGTGACCTAGTTATCATGGGCCTGGACATATTGGGTCTGTTATCCTATAACAGAAAGAAAAATGAGCCCATTTTTAAATGTATTCATAAAAACAAACAAACAAAATCCAAATGATTCACCAGGGGATCAATGAGAGCCAAACCCATAAAAAAATCCATCTCAAATTGACAAAACATGCACTAAAATGTCAGAGACTTAACTAAAACTCTTTACCTACTTTATTGGTCCAAGCAATCTGCTTCAATGTTAACAGAAAAGGCCAGACTCGAGTGCAGCACAATTTAACACAGCAAGTGGCCCAAGTGCACCTTCCAATCTGGGACACTCACTCAACAGACAAGAACCTCCACATTCCTGGACTGGTCGCAGGACAGCACCACGAATACCCAAACCCGTGTCACTTAAACTCACAGCTAGTTCTTTTCAACAATCCATCTCCATTTACAGCTAACAATGCAGTTACTCATGCTGCAACCACTGATAATGTGAGCAAACTTCCAGACATTCCCCGCAACACAATTCCCATAAACCCAAGGTGGAGCAGCTTTGATAAACCGAGCATCCTCAGCAGGAGCTTTTCTACTGTTCTACAGCCGCCGGAAACGCATCTCCTCCAGAAACATGAAACACAGATACCAATCCTGACCAGGGCTTTGACGCTGCAACGACAGCTTACACAGCTCCACCATCCAGGGCAGCGCGTTTCTGCCGCTTTTCCCCACATACAAGACCGACCGCCCGTAATGTAGCAAATTCATGATACTGCCCCAGCACTCTAGCAAGGTACCTGCAATCTGAGACATGATACAGTATATGGAATCAAACCACTCAGAGCATAAACAGCACACATTTAAGTATGAGAGGATCACACTTAACCAATAAAAGAAAAATTAACAAACCATGACAAGAACTTTTCAAAAAACATTTACACAAGTCCTTGGACCGGGGAGTCTCTATGCCCAGACATCATTTACTGGGAATTTTTTCTTTACCTCAGTGAAGCTGCAATCTGTTGTTTCTAACATTTTTTCCCTCCAAACAGTTTCAAAATTATCAAAATTAGGCAAAGAGCAAAAGTTGTTTCCATCAAAAAGCCTAAGAAACTCCAAGAACACCCGGACAGCTACAGAGCTCCTACTTGTTGGAAACTCCTTTATTACGCCTGTACCCCATCATCAATCACCAGATGCAGGAGTAACAGCCTGGCTTCTACCCAGCTGTCACTGGGCATATCAAATTAGATTTTAAAGTGCAAAGATGTGAGCAGCTCTTGTATACTTATTCACAGCCTACAACACGGAATGGCATCTAGGAGTAATTCTGAAAGTCTTCCAAAATTCCTAGCAAACACAGGGTTCCTACCCTATGAGAACATATCTCACCCTTAATAGATATCCTCTCAAGATTGGTGTCTCACCGATTTCTCCTAGCACGATTTCAACTTCAATCTTCTCCACCCCACAACAGCTTCAAGAAAACACAGATAACATTTTTCTAGTGACCACAATCGAAAAACTTTAAAATCCTGGATCAAATCCTAACCATGTTCCTCACTGCAATGAGCCCTTACCGCCAGAGCTGGAGACTCAGACTAAACATCTCGATAACTAGCGGCATCTCTTTCCAGCTTGCAAATATGAAAGTGAATTTCAAGCCACAGAACTCAGTACTGTATCCTGGGCCTCTCCCACACACACAAACATAACTTCTTCTGTAGACTAGCCAGCATGTAACAGGGAGCCACGCCCTGGGCACCCATCTTGACAGCGACAGTCAGCAGCTCAATACTGTGACTGAGGCTGGTGCAGAAGTGTGACACAGCACTCGACAGCAGCACATGACCCCCTGTCTGTCTTCGCCCCCCACACCCCCATCTTACCTGTCCCCGACATTCACCACAAGCAACAGTGCCTCTGCCTCCTTTGCTAGGGTAAATGTAATCAACAGCTCTTCCTACTCCAGTTGGCCTCACCTGCCTCTCCAAGTACGGAGTGACGTCAAGATCAGAAAGAACTCATTACTCAACTGTGCTTTTTGCACACTAACTCTGAGGCAAATCTTTTCCTCCAGCCAACTGGGCTGTATAACAGTGGCAAGAGCAGTGGGCCTCACAGCACTGTACAGTATATGAAAAACACCTATCCAAAATATTCCTAATCTGGACAAATCAGGATCCGCCCCAACAAATTCTGAATTGGACACTGTTGCTTTCTCCACCACCTACGCCATGAGGACCGAACACCTAGTTCCTTCTGCAAACATGGTGCCCAATCATAGACAGGTAAGCACACCACCCAAAGCCATGTCCTTTGCTGCCTGAATGATCTCTCTCAATCCTGGGTTAAGACTGTGCTTTGGGATAAACGACTCCGGTGTTTCAGTTTTCACTAAATAAGGAAAGGAGCAGTTTAAATCAAAGGAGAAGAGACTCATTAAAAATAGCTTAAAGAGAAAATAACAGTAATTGCAAATCAGTATATTGATAAGCAAACGGCAAAAGTAATCTTGATGATCATGACAGCCTGTATCTCCGAGATAATAACCTTGTAATGTATGCTAATTCTTGATGTGTAGCTTATAAATGCTTAGAGTACTGGTGACAATTCAAAACTTGAGTGTTACCTGACATTTCTGTTTAACATGCTACAATATTGTATATTTATTTTACGTTTTAACATTCAGGAAACAATCTGAAAGTACATCTCCTTTTAGTAATATCTACACCTGGAATATTAACCATGGATAACATGTACGATATGTGGGCTCCGTGTAGGCTGAATTAAACATTTTTGCTAATTCCAGAAATAGAAAGAAATCCAGTGGCAGTATACCCAATGCTCTCTAATAATAAAGCAAAACACTCCTGCTTTTCATGGATGTTTCAGGTCAGGTTGTCAACCTGCTTGGCTGGATGCTGAAGGAGATCCAGACCTCCAGTCATGATGCAGGTCTGGACAGTCTGCAGACAGGGAAGTCCGAGTCTGAAACTGTATACATACTCCTAGAAATAGGATTTGTGTTTGGGACGCATTTGAAACAACGATGAAAAACATCATATTACAAAGATTTTCACATTTTTATAGTGAAAATATACACGCATAGTGAGATTTTTAGATTGTATTACCCCACCTCAATGTAGCACTTATGCATTCTTAACAAGAGTATTCATCTACTGAAAGGAACAACAGTGGAGCCCAAAGCACAGTTTTAAGTTACTCAGAGTTAAAGTGGACATTCAGTGGGCAAAGGATCTACAACAATCGCCATTGCGACAATTCGCTTAAAAACGCAACCATCAAGAGGAAAAGTATGTCTGAATAAAGACGAATAGCAGCTTCACTACATAAAAAGTCCCATTTGACTGATCAGCTCATCCAATCTTAAGATAAAGGACATTTTGAAATTGACAATGTTTCAGGCTGAAAGCTCCTGGGTCTGATTTTCTTTTTCTTAAACAACTCGAAAGGTTGTTCTCAGGCTATTAACAGAGCACTTCTGAAACTCACACGAGGGGTAATGCACACTGACCTGTTAATGTGGAGCCCCAGTGGAAGGGTGATAGAATAGAAAAATATGGATTTAAATAAGGAGGATGTTAACTTGTGAGACTTCTCTGAACAACAATTCATATAGGCGATATGATACAGTAGATTCAGATTTTTAAAAGACCTTTGATAAAGGTCCTCATAAACAATTAAATCAGCGACTACAGGAGATACTGTAGGTACTCAACTATCCCTCAGCATGTGTGTTTGACTTGAGAGCTGATTAATAACATGAAAACAGTGTTGAGAAGTGATACATGGAATGATGTGATTAGCATTGTACTAAAGGGATCTGAAATTAGACCACAGGTTATACCATTGAAAACTTGCATCGATGATTTAGATTCTAGTAGTAGCAAATGAATCACTAGGTTTGCAACTTATACCAAATTAGGACGGTTATCAAACACCAAAGAAGCACTCAATAAAATTCCTAAAGATTCAAAACACAAAACACAATTCAAGACTAGGCCAACAACTGGCAGATGATTAATGGAGACAAGTGCATGCTTGTAGCAAGAACGTACAGTAAAACCTTGATATTTGCGAGTTCTACATTTGTGACTTCACATATTCACAAAAAACCTTAGGTGACTACTTTTCCCCAGACTTGCAGATCAAAGTCACCTCTTCACAGGCTTTGGTGCATTTGTGCATCTTCATCTTGTAGATCTACTTTGCCTGACCTGCATCGGTCTCTGCAACCGAGGCCCAGCCTGGTGAACAGAGTTAGCAATGCATCATGGGTAATGCTGTAGTTGTGGAAAGAGGAAAGTGTTAGTGCAGTCCTGTTATCAGAGAAATGTACTGTATGTATGTGAATGTTGTGTTCTGAAATAAAAAGAAACGTTAATTAAAACCCGTTTGGTCCCCTAAAATATCACAGAGTCAGTTCTCGTGTGTCTCATGGAAAAGGACAGACAAAGAAATTAAAAGGAAAAAATATTAGACAAACTCCAAGAGCAGGAAAGGGAGCTGGCCAAGTCTTGTCTGTTATTACTGTGCTGTAATAAACTGTATTACAGTACAGAAGTCCTGCATTTATAATAGTAATAAAAACCAAGATGTAGAAAATAATGAATGTGCTCTGCTAAGAATGAAAAAAAAACAAACACAGGGCAACCTATATTAACAGTGATCTAATATATTAGTGTGCAATAACTTTTTTAAAGTTTTCAGCGCATTAAAAATAGTTATTACCAATAATTACTAGCATTATTTTTTTAAAATACATTAAGTTATAAAAATATTACTAAGGTACTGTTTTACGATCCACAGAACATTACCCTATTTTGCCCAAAAGATATTAAGCCCCTATATTTTTTTAATTCACCATTCCCAGAAACCTCAAGGTACTACAGTAAACCCTCATGGATACTGAGGTTTTACTGTAAATAATAAATACAAGATAGGAGACACTTAGCTTCATGAAGCTGCTAAAGAAAAAGATGGGTGTCTTTTGGTGGTAGCAAATCATTTGCATCTGTTTGATAATGAAG